AGCCGGGCCTTCGTTTGGGCTCAGCGACTCGCTCCTGGCTGGATAGCCAGGGCGGCGCCTCTGCCAGAAAATCGAACAGGTTCCACGCATCGGTGATCTGTGGGCACCCCGTTGGGCAGCGCGGTTTCTGCGATCCGCGCGCGCGGTGTTGCGTGGGCCGCGTGGCCCACCAAGGCTCTGCATTGTTCTGCCGAGCTCGTCTCTGTGCGCAAGATTGCTGGCGCCCGGGGCTGAGTGGTCACCGCGACAGCGCCGTGGTCCCCGCGCGCCGGTAATTCGCCGCCGTGTCATTCTGCTGTCTGGTTTGGGTTCCCTTGGCGGCGGTAATCTGGCTGGGGCCCCCTCAGTGCTGCTCGCAGAAGAAGCTGTCTCTGGTTGCCATCGCGTGGTCGATGCCACCAGCGGCGAGGTCTGGTCGTGCTCGGGGTCGAGTCCAGTGGCGAGGCGGCCAGAATCGCGGTCTGGACATGTTCTGGGCCATGAAGACGGTGGCGTCGTCATCGTCGCGGCCCGAGCCATCGCCCACCGTCGCCTCTGGCGTAGATGGGTCGCTTGCTATCGTCGTGGGGGCGTCCGTAGGCGACGCGACGCCAAATGTAGTTTCTGGGTCGCGCCCGAACTGTTGGCTGGGCGTGTTGCCGCGAACTCCTGCGTCGCATGTCAATTGCAATGCCGGGGGCATGCTGGGGGCGATCTGTAGAGTCTAGGCGCCAATTAATGACTGCCCTTCGTCTTCGCATTTCCTGATGACTGCTCCCGCGCGTGCTATTTGGGCGGTATCTGCGCGGGCGAGCGCATCCAGTTCCCCGGGCCAATTCGATCGATGCGGCCGCTCATGCAAACGTCGAATTCAAGATGCGTCAGCGGGGCGTCGGGGCGGGGCTCGCCCCCGCGCGGCGCGCGCGGGTGCGCCGGCAAGGCTTCGCGACGGATGCGCGTTGCTGCGCCGGAGGCCTGGCGCCAAGTCGAATCGTTGATGGGCGGTGTCGGGCGACTTCCTCGTCGTGCTTAATCGATGGGTCAGCGTCGCGCCGTCGCAAATGTCGCCGCCCCGAAGCTCCGCGTGGCCGTCTTCGCAGCCTTCTTCTCGGCGCGACATCTCGAGGGGCAAAACCAGACACCGGCTTCGCCGTCGGGGCCCCTCGGGCGCGGGCCAAAAGGGGGCGCGCGTGCTTCCGCGTGGGAAATCACGGGCGTGCCCGCCTTTTCCAACAGCCTCTCGACCAAGGTCGCCGGGGTTAGGCGCGCCGTCCGACGGCGTGCGCGGCCTCGACGCCGCGGGCCCCCCGCCGTCGCAAATGCTCCGCGAGGGCGCCGCGGGCGAACGCGCGCGACTCGTCGAGGCCCTCCGAGCCGTCGCGTCGGATGAAGAAGAGGGGCGCGATGCCTTCGAGATCTGCGAGTGACAGATGTTCGATGCGATCCTCACCTGAGCAATGGTGGGCGTCAACGCCTGGTCCCCGACCTTTCGTTGTCCCTTCCGATGGGGCAATCTCTCGCACTCTGGGATTCGCTTGCCGTCGTGGTCCCGGGGATCACAGCGTCTGCCTTTGCCCTTCCATGATGTCCCTCGACGGCAGCCTGTGCTCTTTCCCCCCATCGGCGCCGCGTCGCGCAGCTCGCCCATCGGCAAGCCTGGGGGTGGACGCTGCGGCGCTTGCAATTCAGACGTCTCCGTCCTCCTGGTTCCTTGCTCATGCCTCTGTTCGCCCTCCTTATCTTCCGTCGTGCTCGTGCTGGTCTGCGGGCGGACCTCGCCCATCTCCGTCTAGCATCCTGTTGTGGCCACTGACCTGAAGAGATGTTCTGCTGAACATCGGCTCAATCTAGTCGTTCGCGACCGTGGGGGGAATCCTGCCCGATCTGCGCCCGAATCGCTGTCGTCCGCAGGGTAGGCGAAGTCCATTGGGTTTGATTTTTCCCACGAGGTGGCTGCGCGTTGGGGGTCAACGGCCTTGCGGCATGAGCGCCGTGCTGAAGGGTCGTGTTGTTATACGAAGCGTGGTCTGGGCCAGTAAGGCGATTGCCCCACCTGCGTCGTCCGCCCAGACACTGCCTTTGCTTCCATGCCCGTTTCTGGGCTCTGACTCGTCAGCATGGCAGGCGTGGACTGTTGGGCCGTTTTCACGGATACCACGTCCGAGCATCGATCCAATGTTCCCAAGGGAGCGCTTGGCGATGTGGCCCACCGACCGCGTTCGCTCGAGTAGTTCTTCGTATTCCGCCAGGGTGCGCGGGATCTGGTGGTTGAGGGTTTGCAGTAGTCGCGTCTGGGTGCCGACCCCAGGGCGCGAGACAGTGGCTAGGATTTGGAAATTCGGTATGTCGGATCCAGCCGATTGTGGTTCGAGACGTGCCATGTCGAACCTGATCAATGCTGTATCGGTACGCTCACTGCTTGGCATGTGGAAATCCACCAGGTGGGCACCTGAGGTGGGGATCGCTCATCCGTAAAACTCGCGAATTGCATGCTTAGAGTGAACATGATGTAGGTGGCCGGGTCGGTCTGGGTACCTTGTATGTTGGCACCAAAGTTCATTACGTCGGGAAGGGCATGCGTGACGATCTTGCGCGCAAGACCACCCGACCCTCGCTGGAGGTTGACCCCTAGTTGATGTGGGTCACTGGCCCCTCGTTGATGTGGGTCATGCGCGAACCTGTGAAGACAGGCCAAGCGTTCATCTCCAATACGTACTCCCGACATGGGACGTTCCCGGCTGGGTCCCATAGGGGGGCATGGGATTATCGTGTCGCCCCCGTCTGTGCATGTCGCCAATAGCGGTTCCAATGGTGAACCATATGATAAGACAGACAGCCAGTCCCACCACGTTCAGTCGTGCGGTGTGTTGCTCAGGCGAATTTCTTCGCAAGGCACCGGTGTCAGTGCGCTTGGTCAGATGTCGGGGTTGAAGGTTCCGTACGTTTCATCGCGGTGTGTTCCTTTTCTTGTGTAGTAGGAAATTGTCAAACGCTCCCTTTGGAGGGTCGCCAAGCCTGACAGGTTTCAACTTCGTGGCCATGGCAATATGCTAAACATTCAATTTTGCGGTATTTCGCCAGTGCCAACATGTAAATATTCTGGGGCCGGCTCTGTTGTGTTAGGCTCGTTTCCGTTTTCGGATAGGCCCGCGGAATCGCGCATAGAGTGTGGGGGCTCTTAACAGGTCCCACGGATCCTGCCATACAGAGGTCGGCTGATCCCGATGAGAGCCACATGCACGAGAGCGTGGCCAGCTCTGCTACCAAGTCGAACGCAATGTGGCAACGTCACGTTGTGTATCGTTACCATCTACTGGTGTATGTGGTGACAAGTGTTGAAGAGATGGTGAAGAGAAGGTGGGAATCTTTTTTGATTCGACAGGTAGCACCAAACGTTCTGGTAGTCATATCGGGCGCGTGCCTGAGCCAAGCGGCACAGGAACGCGTTAATTACATGTCCCGCCTGGGGGCCCCAATTTAAAGTCAGGAGGTCCCCAGGCGGGCCCAAAGACGGCCCTCAAAGGTTCCAAAACGGCCCTAGGAGGCGCCCGAGACGGCCCAAAAGTAATCCCATAAAAGAGCCCAAGAGGGGGAACGCGAACCGAAAATCCGAGCCTTCCGCCCCAAGCGGTGCCCAGGAGGTCCCCGTGAGGCTCCGAAAAGGACGGGTGAGCAGGGATGGGGTACCTGGGAAACGAATGTGACCAACCGATCAACCAATCAAGTGGGCGATAGAAACCATAGTTGTTCCTCGCCTGGGTCGCTGGCTGCGGTCTGGCCTCCTCCACGGCGTCGGCCGCGAATCGGGGAGATGTTTTTAATCGTCCACTTCCCAGCGGGGCGCCCACCCTACCCCCAGGCATTTCTGTATCGCTTGGTCGCAAGTGTGACGCACGTGCACAGCAGGCTGCAGGCAGCAGCGCGAGGCGCCCGCTTAATACATGCACTCGTGCCAGAAGCATGCCGTACCCGAGACGTGTTACGACCCGATGTGCCGACCAGGCTGACTGCGATGACGACGGCGATGGATGGTGATGGAGGTGGCCGTGCAACTGGGTGAGGAAGAAGCGGCCGAACATCACCGTGAGGAGCGCGCCGGCCTGGAGAAGAAACGAAGCAGGCGGCCAGGAGCAAGAGACGAGAAGAGGGTCCCACGAGGCTCCGAGCCCCCCCCCCCCGCGCGGGCGGCGGGGCGGGGCGAGGGAGCGCCTCCGAGGCGAGGCAGGCAGGGCCGGGGCGAGCCTCCCGGGGAGGAGCGGCAGGAGGGAGCAGGGAGGACGGCTGCAGCTGGGCGAGGTGCACAGGGAGATCGAGCGACGAGGGGCCCTCTCCGCCGCCGAGCGGCACCGAGCCTGCCCAGCCACGTTGAGCCGGGCGGCCGGCCAGCGCGGCGGCGGGGCCCGCCCGCGCCCCAGGGGGCGAGGCCGTCCTCGCGGGAGGCCCCCGCGACCAGAACGCCGACAGTCGGCGCGCCCTCGGGGGCCCCCTGCGCGGGAGGGCAGCGCGCGGCCCCGCGCGGAGGTGCGCGCGCGCGGAGACACGTCGGTCGGAAGAAGTAGGTTAAACACATGATGTAGGAAGGCGGATCTAGTAGATAGGGTCCAGGCCTGTTGCAAGTGATGTATTGCTTGCGAACATCCAGCAATGCATGCGCCCCGGAATGTATTGCACGCCCCAAATGCATTGCAACCCGCAAACCTCCTGCACCAAATCTACTGCACCAACCCCTTGGTCGCTGGACCTCCTTTTGAGTCAACCCGGAAGCAGAAACGCGAAGCAGGAAGGCCTTGCAAGCAGATTGTGCTCCGCCCGCCCCCCAGAAGAGGAGGGGCGGAAGACGGGTGCAGCCCCTCGATCCTGCAGGCAGGAGGGCGCTTCCAGAGCATCCTGGAATCTGGGAGCCCGAAGATGCCCACTTCCAGCGACCGATGCGTACCCGTGCCCGTCGCGCGGGCCCGAAGAGCGGGGGGGGGCGGCGTCTGGGCCGCGCCAGCGCGGCGGCGGGAGCGCAGCCCGCCACCTCAGAGCGAGAGCTTGGTGCACTCGGGGGCCTGGCCGAGCGCTGGGTCCGGCTTCGCCTTCCGCGCGCTGGCGCCGTCGTCGTCCTCAGCGTCGTCGTCGTCGTCGTCGCGACCGTCGCCGTCGTCGCGACCGTCGCCGTCGTCGTGACCGTCGCCGTCGCCGTCGCCGTCGTCGTCGTCGTCGTCGTCGTCGTGACCGTCGCCGTCGTCGTGACCGTCGTCGTAACCGTCGTCAACGTAGTCGTCAAGATCGTCGTCGTTATCGTTGTTTGTCGTCGTTGTCATATGTCGTCGTAATGATGATCGTTGTCGTCGTTGTCGTCGTCGCCGTCGGCGTCCTGACCGCCGTGATCGTCGCCGCCGCCGCCGCAGCCGTCGCGCTTTGTTGTTGCTTGTCGAGCTGTCTCTCCTGATGAATGGCTCTTTTGTTGATCCTCAATGGCCCATACCTGGCTGATTTTCTCAACTCATGAGCCCCCCTGGGCTCTCGCACCCTGTCTTCTGGGTCCAAAGAACATCTTTCTGGTCAAATTTAAATTTGGGCCTCTAGACTACAGCAACAACGCCTCCCGCCTCAGACTTTCTCGCAACCTCTTCAGGAGCCGTGACTCTCGCTCGAAACCTCCTTGCAGTCTGCGCGAGAATCGCGCTTTTGCCTCGGACTTCGTCGCAAGATCTTGAGGAATCGCCACCAGACCCCCGACATCATGATCTTTTACACCGTGACCCGCACAAGGCCTCGAACCCCTCCCCGGGACCGGTTCCTCCTCCTCCTCGTCCTACTCGTCCTCCTCGTCCTCCTCCTCCTCCTCGTCCTCCTCGTCCTCCTCGTCCTCCTCGTCCTCCTCGTCCTCCTCGTCCTCCTCGTCCTCCTCCTTCCTCTTCGTCCTCCTCCTTGTCCTCCTCCTCGTTCTCCTCCTCCTCGTCGTCCTCCTCCTCCTCTCCTCCTGAAAATCTTTATGAGACGGCTCCGCGGCCTGGCGAGGGCCCCCCAGCAGCTCCGCCACCGTGCCTCTGGCACGAAGGGGACTTCCCCAAAAAGCTCACGGCAGTGCTGCTGCTGCAGGAGGAGGAGGAGGAGGAGGAGGAGGAGGAGGAGGAGGGGAGGAGGAGAAGGAGGAGGAGGAGGAGGAGGACGATGCAGGCCCGCAACACCAATTTCCCGGGCGTTTCCGGGCGCTCTTGGGGCGCTCCTGGGGTGTTCCGCATGGGCCTCGGGGGCGGTTGCGACGCCCCCGACAACCTGGAGAACTTCGCGGAGCCCCTACCAACCACCCAAGACGGTCAAGGAGCGCATCTGGACGGCCCAAGAGGCCTCCAAGACGCTCCAAGAGGCCAAGATGCAAACATAGTCCCATCCCTTGGTAATATACATATATACATATCTGTGCGTGTGTGTGAACATACAAAATTTTAAGGCTCGCTGCGCTTTGCCTTTTAATTTTGATCCTGGCACCTGCATGTCTTATGGACTCTGCGGTTTGCACATTGATGTAGCCGCAATGTTGCTACGACCCATTCCCGGGTCTGACGTTGGGGGGGCTAACCTGGCGCAGCCCCGATTGGCAACAGACCCGACGTGTTCCGTCCAAACCGGCCGCCGGGTTCGGCACTCGCCCAGCACGAAAGGGACGGCAGCTGCGGTCGCCAGTTGTCTCGCGCCTGAGGTGGCGCTCGCAAAAGACGGATGTAGCCGAGGCTCAAACGAGAGTACCAGTCTCACACACGGATGCGGCTGGCGCTGGGGCGGTAGCACAAATCTTGGAAATGGACGTGGTTGGCGCTCGGGCGGAGCACCATTCTCACATGAGGGCTGTGGGAACCGTGCGAGTGGAGCGGCATCACAATAGTCAATGAGTGGCGTGGCTGGCGCTGCGAAATGAGTGCCGCGTTCCATGGAGGATTTGGCCAGCGTGCAGACGGCAGCATGACTCCCAGACAGGGGTGTGGCCAGCGCTCGGGCGAGAGCGCCAATCCTAATCATGAATGGGGCTTGTGCGCGACCGGCAGCATCATCTGCAATGAGGGCTGTGGCCGGCTCTGAGCCGACAGTACCGCTCGTATTGGAGAGTGTGGTCAATGCTGGGGTGGCTGCGCCAATCTTGGATCAGGATGCGGCCTCAGATGGGCGAGAACACCATTGCCGAAGTACTGCAAACCGCGCGAGCGAAGCGAAGGCGGAGGTGAAGGAGGAGAAGGAGGAGGGGGAGGAGGAGGAGGAGGAGGAGGAGGGAGGGAGGGAGGGAGGAGGAGGAGGAGGAGGAGGAGGAGGAGGAGGAGGAAGAGGAGGGAGGAGGAGGAGGGGAAGAAGGAGGAGGAGGAGGAGGAGGAGGAGGAGGAGGAGGAGGGGGCGGAGGGGAGGAGGAGAAGCGGGCTGTGGGAAAACTAAGAAAAATGCAAGAGATGATCCTACGGCTCCGTAGGAAGGCAGGGTTCACATAGCGTCCTCCCGGGAACTCCACTTGCGGGTCCAATGTCAAAGTTCGCACGGCGTCGCCGCCCGTCTCGGCACACCCACCACACGGCGTCGTTTCGACTGTCTCCTCACACGGATCGTACCCCATAGAGGGTTGCTCTGACGGCCCCGGAGCCAGGGTTCGCATCCCGCCGCCTCGCCCATGCTGGCACACCCCTGACATGGATCGTGAGTCCAGGGCGTTTGTAGTGTTTCTCGGGGCCTGGCGGCGTTTGTTTGTGGGGCCTCTTGAAGCCCTGAGATGAATCTTGATGTGGGGGCCTCTTGGAGCCCTGGGAAGCTTCCTGGGACTCTTTCGGAAGCATTCTGGAACCTCTGGGGGCTCCTTAGGCTTTCTTGGAGTTCCTTTTTGTGCTCTTATGGGCTGGCTGTGGGCCCCCTTGGGCTGTCCTGGGACCCTCTTGGGCCGTCCTGGGGGGGGCTGGGGCCGTCGTTGAGCCCTCTGGGGGCCCTCTTCGGCAGTCCAGGGGGCCTCCTATGGCCCTCTTGGAGCTTCCTTGGGGCCCCTGTGGGACCCTCGGGGGGCCCTCCTTGGCCGTCTTGGGGCTCTGTTGGGCCGTCTCGGAGCCCTCTGGGAACGTCTTGGGACTCTCTTGGGGGCCTCTTGGGCCATCGGGCGCTCCGTGGGGCTATCTTGGGCGCGCCGCTGGGCGTCGATGGGGCGCACTGCACGCCGTCTTGGAGCCAACTTGGGCGTCTGGGGGCTCTGTTGGGCCATTTCGGGGCCGTCTTGGAAGCCTCTTGGGCCGTCTTGGGGGGATCTCGGAAGCCTCTTGGGTCGTCGTGGGCTGCAAGATGTCCAGAATGACGAGGACGCCACAATCTGTCAAAAACCGTTGAGACAACGTTGATTTATGCATGCCGCGGCGCTCTTGGGAGTCTTGTGGGCCCGCTTGGGGCCGTTGGGGAGCCCGGGGAGGACCGTCGAAAAAGGTATGGGGGGGGCCATCGGGGGGAAGGCTTCCATGCAGGATGTATAATGATAGGATTTATATATACATACGTAGATATAGCATATCCGCCTCTTGGGCTGTCACAACGTCCAAGACGACCCCAGAGACCCCCAAGATCGCCCCAAGACGGCCCAAGATGTCCCCAAGAGGGCTGCAAGACCGCCCAAGAGGGCCCCAAGACGGCCCAAGACTCCCCCAAGAAGGCTCCAGGACGGCAACAAGGGGAGGCCCACAGGGGGGAACCCGAACGGGCAATTTCGAGCCTTCGGCCCCCAAACGCCCCCAGGAGGCCTCAAGAAATCCCAAAGAGGCCCCAAAGAGGCCCACCAGCTGCTTCCCGAATTGGCCCCCGAGAGCGATCCGACGAGACCCCAAGAAGCATCCCGGAGGACTCTGACCACAAGCCAGGCACGGTGGCGGGATAGGCCGAAGGAGGCCGAACGCCACTCGATGCTCGAAACGGCTAAACAAACATCCGTCGTGACTCTTTTCAAGACCCCGTGGCGCCTGCGCCCCTGTCTCTCAGGAGCCGTACTCCCGCCCGCGAAAGTTCCGCCCGCCCGGCCCGTCCGCACGGAGGTGATGCGCGCGCGCGCCCGCGGGAGGAGTGGGAGGAGGGGGAGGAGGAGGAGGAGGAGGAGGAGGAGGAGGAGGAGGAGGAGGAGGAGGAGGAGAGGAGGAGGAGGAGGAGGAGGAGGAGAAGGAAGAGGACGAGGATGATGATGATGATGCTGATGATGATGATGATGATGATGATGATGATGATGATGATGATGAGGAGAAGGAGGAGGAGGAGGAGGAGGAGGAGGAGGAGGAGGAGGAGAGGAGGAGGAGGAGGAGGGTTGAGGAGGAGGGAGGAGGGAGGAGGAGGAGGAGGAGGGAGGAGGAGGAGGAGGAGGGAGGAGGAGGAGGGAGGAGGAGGGAGGAGGAGGAGAGGAGGAGGAGGAGGAGGAGGAGGAGGAGGAGGAGGAGGAGGAGGAGGAGGAGGAGGAGGAGGAGGAGGCGGGCTTGCCCCAGTGCGGCGGGCCCTCCCGTTGTACAATGGTTCCCCCAAGTGCCTCCCGACCCCCCCCAGCACTCTCGAGTGCAGGGCGTGGCGGGGCGGGGAGGGCCAGAGCGGGGAGCCGAGGGCCCTACGCCGCGCCCGGCGCCCTGCCGCACAACGGCAGGAGCCGGCCCGCGTCGCAGCTTGCACCCGAAGCGGCGCCATGCCAACGAATGGCAGGCATGCGGCGCCGCAGGGCAAGGTCAGCCCCAGCGACGCCCAATGTCTGACGCGGCGGATGACCAGCAAGCACTCGGCCCAGTGTAGACTCGGCAGTCGGCACTGCAGCGGTCTGCTCGCCGTCTTGCTGAAAGCTCTCACCCCGAGCGCCGATGGGGGGCAACTCACGTTCCCCATTCCGACCGTCAGCCCTTCGCACGAAGGGCGCCAAGCCCTGAGATGACCAGAGCTGCCGCGGGGCACCAGGCCCTATTCCGGCACCAGCCAGGGGGCAAGGGGCCGTGGCGGAGCGCAGAAGCCAGAGGCTAGCGGGGCAGCGGCTTAGAACGAAGCAGGGCAGCTGGCGAAGACGAGCAGGAAGGGCGGGAGGAGGAGCATGTATTGGCATGCCTCCAGTCTGCGG